TGAACAAAAACAATAGTATTTTAATGATTAAGTAGTAGACCTGTTTTTAGGAGTGACCTCGTGGTCTGGGGATGCTGAAAACCAACCATGAGCTCACTATTTTCGCATCTAATTGAGTTAATCTGAGCGTTCTGGACGAAGCCGGAAACAGTAACGTTTTTGTCGACCCGATGTTAAAAGGACCACACAAAGAACTGGCTTTGGCAGAGACAGTTAAAACATGTAGAGCTTTGTTTAGACGCTAGCCAGTCGTTTTACAACCTAGCTTTATTTTCCGTCGATATGAACTTCGGGCGAATGTTACACAATGGTTGTAGCGACTATTTTTTTAGCCTCATATGTGGCTTAAGTAGGCGACAGTTACAATCCAGCTTGTCCACGACCGCACCTAAACGGAAGGGCCCCTTTTATAAATTAACTTTATTTAATCAAGTTAATTCAGTTACGAAAGCGCTCATCGCAGTTCGGTGCTTCAGGTAAAAATTTAATGGCAGACCCTGTCATAGATGAACAATTACTTGAAGACTTGGACGGTGGCCTAAGTAAATTTATCGCAGGTGGCGTCATCGACGATAAACCAAATTTTGATCTAAATTTAGAGACATTGTCGAAGTGCTGTAGAGATCAGAAATGTGTGGACGAACTTATTTTGAAGGAAAGCGATTTTCTGTACTCTTTGGTAGGCTTTCTTCGTGCCGGAGTTGAGTCTTCTGCTTCTGATATCAGCTATTCAACTAATCAAGTTCTAGATTCTGTCACCAAAGTATACCGAAACAGTTCTCACACTTGCAAAGCTGACCTTAGAGAGTTTACGAAAGAAAGTGGTGTCAGTGAAGTCGTGGAGAAGATGCTTGTCTCAAAACAGAGTGTTCGACTCTGTGTCGAACTGATCTGCAGGGTAACTATATATTATTATTCTCTGATGGTTTCACTGATATTTTAATGAACGGAGTCGTGTTCAGCTGAGGTAATTTGAAACGGTCAAGCGGAAAGAAACGAAGGCGGCAATTTTTTTGGTCAAGAAACAAGCAACCAAATTGTCTCAATTTTTTTTGCACGAAGAAGTATTTTGGAGTTTTGTACGAGCCATTCATCTTGGTTGATTTCGAGATTTAAGACTATTAAATGTTCCAACCATTGAAATGCGGTGAGAACTTTGTCTTCGATAGTGTCTTAGTTGTTTTCCACGCAGAATCATGTACCACAAATAGTCATTGGAATTGATCCGATAAAATATCGTGTAGTCCTTTGAGTCGTGATTCTAACCAAATTAAAATCGTTAAGTGTTCTCACTGTCGAGAAGTACGGATTTGAAATTTTTGGTCTAATTTCGAGCGAATAAAGTGAGCGAAAAGGATTATTTTTTTCGACCAAAATCAGTTATCACAAATAATCATCGGAATGAGTCAAAAGATATCATTTATAGTCCTTTCAGTCGTGGTTCGAACGAAATTTTAAAAATTCCAAAAACTTTTCAATGTGTCGAGAAGAACGCGTTCGAAATTTTGAGCCTACTTTATCCTTTAACAGTTAGTTTTACTTCAGGAATACTTGTTTTCGAAGGTTCATTCAGCGCGTTCTTCTTGGCAATAATTTAAAAAATTTGCAAAGGCGAAAAAATTGATGCTTGAACGTCAATTATATCATCAGAATCAATTTAAAACAACAATCATTGTAAACAATAAATCAGGGAATAAAAATCCGAGAAAAAAAGTAGCGCAGTTTGAGTTAATATGAAACATTAAAAGAACAAGTAAATTAGAAGTGCAGAGTTTAGCTGGCGCTGCCGGTACTCTCACGCTGATTCAAGGTTGGAGCTTCGCTCGAGCTGTATAGGGCCGTAAGACATAGCAGCTCTTTGGTGTCGTTGCTTCCGTCCAGAATATTGCTCTGCAAATCCGCTAGGGAATCACCGTCTCCGAACTCTCACAGGTGAATACTAACTAACAATTGTGAGCCGGCAGTTTGTCCGACATAGCTCGCGTTGCAATCTGTACATATGTATTGATAAGTAAATCGATTACTGAGTGCCTTTAGACTGGGACAATTCAACGAAGGCAAAAAAGATTTCTTTCAATTTCCTCGTCATGGAGAAACTCCAATTGCTGCCCTGAGACGTCTCCAGACCTCTATCCTGCAGTACAACGGCGCTTCTCTCGATCTTGATTGCTTCATTCTGCTCCTGTGTGCTGGCGGTCGGATCCAAAAGCTTCTCGATGGTGGCACGAACGATTGGGAAAAAAAACCAGGTGGTTGGTTAGCGATTAGCCTCCCAGTTCTTTGTGGCTTTCTCCAGTCCATCGCTGAAAAACCTCCAAGTAGAAGTAGCATGATGAATCTGTTGATATACAAACAGAACATGAAACCACTATGTTCTGTTTGTATTTGGTGGGACCGACTGCATGATAGGTCAGCGAAAGCCCCGTATCAGCAGGCTTTGAGTTTTTTGAATTTTTTTTCGTTTTTTGAAGACAATCGTTGACAATTTTGCCTCTTTAACTAACTTCCTACGCGTTAGATTAGCTCGCTTATCTCAACACGCACAAAATCAACAATTTTTATCGTTTTTTTTAATGAATGGTTGGAAGATTCTGTGCTACTGCTCAGAAACCGTATAATCCTAGTTTGTTTCGATGTCAACTGTGTTTTGCTAGTGTCTTTCAGTCGGGAACTAGACTTTTTTCCATCTTGGTTTCGAGATAGTCTTTCGAGCTTAAAGACTATTAAATGTTCCGACCATTAAAATGCGGAGAGAACTTTGCCTGCGAGAAGGTCTTAGTTTTTTTGCACGCAGAATCAATTAACACAAATAGTCCTTTGAGTCGTGATTCTAACCAAAATAAAATCTTGAAGTTTTCTCATTGTCGAGAAATACGGGTTTGAAAATTTTGTTTTTTGGTTTAATTTCGAGCAAATAAAGTGAGCGAAAAGGATTATTTTTTTTCGACCAAAGTCAGTTTTCACAAATAATCATCGGAATGAGTCAAAAGATATCATTTATAGTCCTTTTAGTCGTGATTCGAACGAAAGTTTAAAAACTCAAAAACCTTTCACTGTGTCGAGAAAAACACGTTCGAAATTTTGAGCTTACTCTATCCTTTACCAGTTAGTTTTACTCCAGGAATACTTGTTTTCGAAGGTTTATTCAGCGCGTTCTCTTGGCGTTAATTTTGAAAAAATTGCAAAGGCGAAAAAATTGATGCATGAACGTCAAATACATCATCTGAATCAATTTAAAACGAACCATCATCATTTTTTTCCCAACTAAGTCGCAAATAAAAGTTCTACTTTTGGTGGCATTTTTCATTCGGTAGGCTGCGTTAGCAGTATAATGTCATGTGCTTTCACATTTGATTAGTAAAAAGCTAGAACATTTGATGCATTTTTATTTCATCAAATGAACCAAATAAAATTATGTTACACACAGCAGTGCAAAGATAAAAGGCTCGATTTCAGAAATTTTCAAAATTAGTGTATCGCAATTTTTGTGAGATGCATAATTTATTCATAACTTGGCTTTATGCTTTCCTATTTATAACCTGCAAAATTGTGTCTTTTTTATTCGGTGCTTTTTTTGCTGAATCGAATTAGTAATTCATAAGCATATGTAGCTGCGTTATTGGTGGCTAGTTTTTGGGGACTTTAAGCATCCCTGGTGGAGTGGTTAATGTGTGAGATTCAAATTTGCTAGGTCGCAGGTTCGAATACGACACGTAGCCGAGTTTTTGTTAATTCGAGGCTTTTTCTTATTTCACTTGATAGAGCTGCGAAGCGTTTGCGAAGTCTTTGCGAAGCGCAGCTTACCCTCTGTGTTAAGTTTTTCGGGCTAGTTGCTATTGGTTATTTTTTCTAACCAAAAATCGATCTTTCTTATCCGGTTCAAAATGAAAGACCACTTCCCAATTTTTGTTAAAATAAGCTGGTAAAACATGACCTTCAGTCATTGGTTCCAGCAATTTGGTTCGGATGATTTAACATATATGTTTGCTCTGAATTACTACTGAAACTATAAGTTAAATCTCATTAATTCACTCCTCATTATTCAACCGTTTGTCGCTGAAATAACGTTGATAGATTATATGCCCAGATGACCAATCATATGCCCACGTTTTTCAATTTTTTGATTTTCGTACATATTTTTTCTTGCTGTGTTACTGCTGTAAGAGGATCTTGAGATTCCAGTTATAGTGATGTTTCTTTAAATAAACTGACATGTCAGTTTGGATAAAACATCAAATCGAAAAATTATGACTCAAGTAAAAAAAAGTATGGAAATTGTCATAATCGATGAAATAATGATTACGTAATAACAGATGTAAGAATGTGATTGGTTAAAAATTTCTAACATGTTCTTTTTGAATTTCATACATGATCTTTGATCATTTTATTGTAAATAAAAAATTTTATATCCTGACGATGCACAAAATGTGCGAAAACGTTTGAATTAACAATTTTAAAAAATTCTTTTTCTTTAGACCATTCTAGGTAGCTTTCATGATCGGATGGCAGCTTGATATTAAGTCCGCCCATTTTAAGGGGTGAGAGAGATATCTCACGGAACTGGGAGTTCAAAGTGTCTTTACTGACTAGGTTAGGTAATAATTGTTCTTTGATAATAGTGTATGAGAAGCTAGGAGTTGAGGGAAAGGGTTGAACCATCTTCGTGGGAGATGATGATTTTTATCTTCTGAACAAAAACAATAGTATTTTAATGATTAAGTAGTAGACCTGTTTTTAGGAGTGACCTCGTGGTCTGGGGATGCTGAAAACCAACCATGAGCTCACTATTTTCGCATCTAATTGAGTTAATCTGAGCGTTCTGGACGAAGCCGGAAACAGTAACGTTTTTGTCGACCCGATGTTAAAAGGACCACACAAAGAACTGGCTTTGGCAGAGACAGTTAAAACATGTAGAGCTTTGTTTAGACGCTAGCCAGTCGTTTTACAACCTAGCTTTATTTTCCGTCGATATGAACTTCGGGCGAATGTTACACAATGGTTGTAGCGACTATTTTTTTAGCCTCATATGTGGCTTAAGTAGGCGACAGTTACAATCCAGCTTGTCCACGACCGCACCTAAACGGAAGGGCCCCTTTTATAAATTAACTTTATTTAATCAAGTTAATTCAGTTACGAAAGCGCTCATCGCAGTTCGGTGCTTCAGGTAAAAATTTAATGGCAGACCCTGTCATAGATGAACAATTACTTGAAGACTTGGACGGTGGCCTAAGTAAATTTATCGCAGGTGGCGTCATCGACGATAAACCAAATTTTGATCTAAATTTAGAGACATTGTCGAAGTGCTGTAGAGATCAGAAATGTGTGGACGAACTTATTTTGAAGGAAAGCGATTTTCTGTACTCTTTGGTAGGCTTTCTTCGTGCCGGAGTTGAGTCTTCTGCTTCTGATATCAGCTATTCAACTAATCAAGTTCTAGATTCTGTCACCAAAGTATACCGAAACAGTTCTCACACTTGCAAAGCTGACCTTAGAGAGTTTACGAAAGAAAGTGGTGTCAGTGAAGTCGTGGAGAAGATGCTTGTCTCAAAACAGAGTGTTCGACTCTGTGTCGAACTGATCTGCAGGGTAACTATATATTATTATTCTCTGATGGTTTCACTGATATTTTAATGAACGGAGTCGTGTTCAGCTGAGGAAATTTGAAACGGTCAAGCGGAAAGAAACGAAGGCGGCAATTTTTTTGGTCAAGAAACAAGCAACCAAATTGTCTCAATTTTTTTTGCACGAAGAAGTATTTTGGAGTTTTGTACGAGCCATTCATCTTGGTTGATTTCGAGATTTAAGACTATTAAATGTTCCAACCATTGAAATGCGGTGAGAACTTTGTCTTCGATAGTGTCTTAGTTGTTTTCCACGCAGAATCATGTACCACAAATAGTCATTGGAATTGATCCGATAAAATATCGTGTAGTCCTTTGAGTCGTGATTCTAACCAAATTAAAATCGTTAAGTGTTCTCACTGTCGAGAAGTACGGATTTGAATTTTTTGGTCTAATTTCGAGCGAATAAAGTGAGCGAAAAGGATTATTTTTTTCGACCAAAATCAGTTATCACAAATAATCATCGGAATGAGTCAAAAGATATCATTTATAGTCCTTTCAGTCGTGGTTCGAACGAAATTTTAAAAATTCCAAAAACTTTTCAATGTGTCGAGAAGAACGCGTTCGAAATTTTGAGCCTACTTTATCCTTTAACAGTTAGTTTTACTTCAGGAATACTTGTTTTCGAAGGTTCATTCAGCGCGTTCTTCTTGGCAATAATTTAAAAAATTTGCAAAGGCGAAAAAATTGATGCTTGAACGTCAATTATATCATCAGAATCAATTTAAAACAACAATCATTGTAAACAATAAATCAGGGAATAAAAATCCGAGAAAAAAAGTAGCGCAGTTTGAGTTAATATGAAACATTAAAAGAACAAGTAAATTAGAAGTGCAGAGTTTAGCTGGCGCTGCCGGTACTCTCACGCTGATTCAAGGTTGGAGCTTCGCTCGAGCTGTATAGGGCCGTAAGACATAGCAGCTCTTTGGTGTCGTTGCTTCCGTCCAGAATATTGCTCTGCAAATCCGCTAGGGAATCACCGTCTCCGAACTCTCACAGGTGAATACTAACTAACAATTGTGAGCCGGCAGTTTGTCCGACATAGCTCGCGTTGCAATCTGTACATATGTATTGATAAGTAAATCGATTACTGAGTGCCTTTAGACTGGGACAATTCAACGAAGGCAAAAAAGATTTCTTTCAATTTCCTCGTCATGGAGAAACTCCAATTGCTGCCCTGAGACGTCTCCAGACCTCTATCCTGCAGTACAACGGCGCTTCTCTCGATCTTGATTGCTTCATTCTGCTCCTGTGTGCTGGCGGTCGGATCCAAAAGCTTCTCGATGGTGGCACGAACGATTGGGAAAAAAAAACCAGGTGGTTGGTTAGCGATTAGCCTCCCAGTTCTTTGTGGCTTTCTCCAGTCCATCGCTGAAAAACCTCCAAGTAGAAGTAGCATGATGAATCTGTTGATATACAAACAGAACATGAAACCACTATGTTCTGTTTGTATTTGGTGGGACCGACTGCATGATAGGTCAGCGAAAGCCCCGTATCAGCAGGCTTTGAGTTTTTTTTCGTTTTTTGAAGACAATCGTTGACAATTTTGCCTCTTTAACTAACTTCCTACGCGTTAGATTAGCTCGCTTATCTCAACACGCACAAAATCAACAATTTTTATCGTTTTTTTTAATGAATGGTTGGAAGATTCTGTGCTACTGCTCAGAAACCGTATAATCCTAGTTTGTTTCGATGTCAACTGTGTTTTGCTAGTGTCTTTCAGTCGGGAACTAGACTTTTTTCCATCTTGGTTTCGAGATAGTCTTTCGAGCTTAAAGACTATTAAATGTTCCGACCATTAAAATGCGGAGAGAAGTTTGCCTGCGAGAAGGTCTTAGTTTTTTTGCACGCAGAATCAATTACCACAAATAGTCCTTTGAGTCGTGATTCTAACCAAAATAAAATCTTGAAGTTTTCTCATTGTCGAGAAATACGGGTTTGAAAATTTTGTTTTTTGGTTTAATTTCGAGCAAATAAAGTGAGCGAAAAGGATTATTTTTTTTCGACCAAAGTCAGTTTTCACAAATAATCATCGGAATGAGTCAAAAGATATCATTTATAGTCCTTTTAGTCGTGATTCGAACGAAAGTTTAAAAACTCAAAAACCTTTCACTGTGTCGAGAAAAACACGTTCGAAATTTTGAGCTTACTCTATCCTTTACCAGTTAGTTTTACTCCAGGAATACTTGTTTTCGAAGGTTTATTCAGCGCGTTCTCTTGGCGTTAATTTTGAAAAAATTGCCAAGGCGAAAAAATTGATGCATGAACGTCAAATACATCATCTGAATCAATTTAAAACGAACCATCATCATTTTTTTCCCAACTAAGTCGCAAATAAAAGTTCTACTTTTGGTGGCATTTTTCATTCGGTAGGCTGCGTTAGCAGTATAATGTCATGTGCTTTCACATTTGATTAGTAAAAAGCTAGAACATTTGATGCATTTTTATTTCATCAAATGAACCAAATAAAATTATGTTACACACAGCAGTGCAAAGATAAAAGGCTCGATTTCAGAAATTTTCAAAATTAGTGTATCGCAATTTTTGTGAGATGCATAATTTATTCATAACTTGGCTTTATGCTTTCCTATTTATAACCTGCAAAATTGTGTCTTTTTTATTCGGTGCTTTTTTTGCTGAATCGAATTAGTAATTCATAAGCATATGTAGCTGCGTTATTGGTGGCTAGTTTTTGGGGACTTTAAGCATCCCTGGTGGAGTGGTTAATGTGTGAGATTCAAATTTGCTAGGTCGCAGGTTCGAATACGACACGTAGCCGAGTTTTTGTTAATTCGAGGCTTTTTCTTATTTCACTTGATAGAGCTGCGAAGCGTTTGCGAAGTCTTTGCGAAGCGCAGCTTACCCTCTGTGTTAAGTTTTTCGGGCTAGTTGCTATTGGTTATTTTTTCTAACCAAAAATCGATCTTTCTTATCCGGTTCAAAATGAAAGACCACTTCCCAATTTTTGTTAAAATAAGCTGGTAAAACATGACCTTCAGTCATTGGTTCCAGCAATTTGGTTCGGATGATTTAACATATATGTTTGCTCTGAATTACTACTGAAACTATAAGTTAAATCTCATTAATTCACTCCTCATTATTCAACCGTTTGTCGCTGAAATAACGTTGATAGATTATATGCCCAGATGACCAATCATATGCCCACGTTTTTCAATTTTTTGATTTTCGTACATATTTTTTCTTGCTGTGTTACTGCTGTAAGAGGATCTTGAGATTCCAGTTATAGTGATGTTTCTTTAAATAAACTGACATGTCAGTTTGGATAAAACATCAAATCGAAAAATTATGACTCAAGTAAAAAAAAAGTATGGAAATTGTCATAATCGATGAAATAATGATTACGTAATAACAGATGTAAGAATGTGATTGGTTAAAAATTTCTAACATGTTCTTTTTGAATTTCATACATGATCTTTGATCATTTTATTGTAAATAAAAAATTTTATATCCTGACGATGCACAAAATGTGCGAAAACGTTTGAATTAACAATTTTAAAAAATTCTTTTTCTTTAGACCATTCTAGGTAGCTTTCATGATCGGATGGCAGCTTGATATTAAGTCCGCCCATTTTAAGGGGTGAGAGAGATATCTCACGGAACTGGGAGTTCAAAGTGTCTTTACTGACTAGGTTAGGTAATAATTGTTCTTTGATAATAGTGTATGAGAAGCTAGGAGTTGAGGGAAAGGGTTGAACCATCTTCGTGGGAGATGATGATTTTTATCTTCTGAACAAAAACAATAGTATTTTAATGATTAAGTAGTAGACCTGTTTTTAGGAGTGACCTCGTGGTCTGGGGATGCTGAAAACCAACCATGAGCTCACTATTTTCGCATCTAATTGAGTTAATCTGAGCGTTCTGGACGAAGCCGGAAACAGTAACGGAAGCACTACGCGGAAATTGAAAGTGAACGAAAATTGAAACGAACTGATGAATTATATGCTATATTTGTTAAAGTTGCTGATTTAAATTCATTTTTTTGCGGATGGATAAACTCGTTCGTACGCGGTTGCTCGAATCTGACACAAAAACAATCAAAAGAAAACATTGCCATGCAAAAGAGAAAAAAGAGATACCCGAGAATAAAAAGACCGAGCTTCTATATTGCTAATGTATATTGCCTAGTATGAAATCCGAGGAGGGACTTTAGCGTTGCCAATTTGCTGATGTGTTATTCGGTACGCAAGCCATTAGGTTCCGAATCAGATTTAGGTAATCAAAGACACATGCATAGTTATAAATGCGGGGGGTTTAGTTGATTTTAACGTATGATTTTGATGTAAGAGAAAACGGGGTCATTGAGTTTTAACTAGGGCAATACCAAGCTTTTCGAAGTTTGATAAGAGTTTAATCTTTGTGTCAGAGTTAAGAAGGAAAAATTAGCTTGGATTAGGAAAATTTTTTCGAAAACTGAGAAGATAGTTTTTTTTTCGGGGACATGCGTCGAGACAGTGCAGTGAGAAATAAGGCAGCAGACGAAATAGTGATGACAACAAAATTCTAGTGCTTTGAGTGCAAGGAGTTTGGACTTATTGCAAAGTTTTGCCAAGCAAAGAAAAAAATTACTAGTAAGACTAAACGAGAACAGCAGAACCTAGCAGCTGAAACAGAGACTCATTTTAGTTTTCTGAGAGGAGTGTCTACGGGCGAGGACTTAGTCGTAGATTCTTGAGCCAACAGTACTATGATTAAGGATCAAGAGATGTTTGTTAGACCAGATGAGAACTTCAAAAGATCGGTTAGCAATGCAAGTTTCTCTGAGTCTTAAGTTTTAGGGAAAACTGGAGATAGGTCAATGACAAGAAAGGCGGCAATTTAAGATGATTGAGGTGGAGAATACTTTGTACATTCCTGAAAATTTAAGAAATATGATAAGCGATCAAAAATGAAGAAAACAGGAGCTGAAGTTGTTTTTGGTTCGAGCGCGTTTGTTCCTCAGGGAAATGGTTCAGTTTACCCATAATTAGAGTCAAAGTGGTCTCTTTTTGTGGGACACTTTTGTAGGAAAAGAGGAGTGTTATGTAGTTAGCTTATTGAAGCAATGGCTTTATAGGATGGGTCATAACAAACTATAAAGACTTAAACCCTTTAGAGCAACATGTTGAAGACATAAATATAAGTGATTTTAAAATGAAGAATTGTGAAACGTGTGGGTTGAATAACGCAAAAAAGAAGCCAGTCGCGAAAGGTGGTTATACCAGGGCAACCAGGACACTAGATATGGTTCGCACAGATATTTTAGGTTCTATGACTCGATATCAGTTGATGGTTATAGATATGCTATTGGTTTTGCTCTGAATTACTACTGAAACTATAAGTTAAATCTCATTAATTCACTCCTCATTATTCAACCGTTTGTCGCTGCAATAACGTTGATAGATTATATGCCAGAAATAGTGATGACAACAAAATTCTAGTGCTTTGAGTGCAAGGAGTTTGGACTTATTGCAAATTTTTGCCAAGCAAAGAAAAAAATTACTAGTAAGACTAAACGAGAACAGCAGAACCTAGCAGCTGAAACAGAGACTCATTTTAGTTTTCTGAGAGGAGTGTCTACGGGCGAGGACTTAGTCGTAGATTCTTGAGCCAACAGTACTATGATTAAGGATCAAGAGATGTTTGTTAGACCAGATGAGAACTTCAAAAGATCGGTTAGCAATGTAAGTTTCTCTGAGTCTTAAGTTTTAGGGAAAAGTGGAGATAGGTCAATGACAAGAAAGGCGGCAATTTAAGATGATTGAGGTGGAAAATACTTTGTACATTCCTGAAAATTTAAGAAATATGATAAGCGATCAAAAATGAAGAAAACAGGAGCAGAAGTTGTTTTTGGTTCGAGCGCGTTTGTTCGTCAGGGAAATGGTTCAGTTTACCCATAATTAGAGTCAAAGTGATCTCTTTTTGTGGGACACTTTTGTAGGAAAAGAGGAGTGTTATGTAGTTAGCTTATTGAAGCAATGGCTTTATAGGATGGATCATAACAAACTATAAAGACTTAAATCCTTTAGAGCAACATGTTGAAGACATAAATATAAGTGATTTTAAAATGGAGAATTGTGAAACGTGTGCGTTGAATAACGCAAAAAAGAAGCCAGTCGCGAAAGGTGGTTATACCAGGGCAACCAGGACACTAGATATGGTTCACACTGATATTTTAGGTTCTATGACTCGATATCAGTTGATGGTTATAGATATGCTATTGGTTTTGTGGACAGGTTTTCTAGATATCCAATAATTTATTTCATGAAGACGAGAGTTGAGACAACAGAAAAGTTGGAAACGCTCATAGATACAGGAGTCCCTCAGACTTAGATTTCAGATGGTGCAGGAGATAACATTGGTCAGGAATTTAGGCGCGTTTGTTGGAAACAGAAGATAAGACTGGAATCGTCGGCTCCTTATACCCCTCAAGAGAACGGAAAGGTAAAAAGGGCGTGGGGAACGATTACTCCAATGGCTTGCTGCATGATTTTTGATGCCAATTTGTTGAAAACTTACTGGCCTTATGCTCTTAAAATGGCTGCCAATCTCATGAACATGTGTTTACATTCTGCTATAGGCGAAACACCTTACGAGTCTATGTATGGAGGAAAACGCAACCTGAATTTTGTGAAAACTTTTGGTTGTGCAGCGTATAGTTTTGTGGAAAAACAGTTTCGAACAAACTAGACAAAAACTCGAAAAGGGGAATTTTCTTGGACATCGGAAAATAGTAAAATTTTTCTGATGGGAATCGTGAATGAAGGAAAACTCAAAGTTCCAAAGTTTGGAAATCTTAGTTTTGACGAATCTAAGTTTATTTTGAGAAAAACGTTGGGCGCAACCGTAGGTGATGCAGTGTTTTTTGGTGAAGTATTCGAACATTTACCAGAAAATGCCAAGGAAGCTTTAGCAGACCCTGACTGGCAAACTGCAATAAAAAAAAAGATTTTGATTCACAAGAGAAAAATAAATTTTGGGAACTAGTTAGGAATAGAGGACAGAAACCAATAGGCAGCAGATGGCTTTTTGCTTTGAAGTACGGACCTAATGATGACATTTTGAGGTGTAAGGCTAGATTTATTGCTAAGGTTTTAGCCAAGTTGGGAAAGGGATTCGCCCACTACTAAGATGTGGACGGTAAGACAGTTCAAAGTATGAGGTTAAGACAGTTAGACATTAAAACTACATATTTAAATGCCAAACTAGTTGAAGATATTTTCATGAAGCAGCCTGAAGGATTCCGGCAGTTGACGAAGAAGGAAAACCGGTAGTCCGGTAGTTACTAACATGGGACTCTTAAAGGATATCTTGCGGAAATAGGTTTTGAAAATTCAGTCTTTGACGAATGCTTTTTTTGTTAAGAGAAATGAGGGGAATATAGAAGGTTGAATTTGCTTGTGGGTAGATGATATACTGGCTTGTGGAGCAAGGAAAAATTCGGTAGGTGTTTAAAAACAAAATATCTGAAAAAATTTGAGGCAAGCGAGTTGAGTGATCTCAAATGGCCCTTAAGGATGAAAATTGATTATTCAGAAAATGAAATCAGGATCAGTCAGGAGAAATACATTGAGAAATTGTTATCATGATTTAAGATGACCGAAACAAAATTGATAACAACCCCTTAAGAGGAGAACGAAAAACTGGCGAAAGAAGATTGTCCTTCAGATGTAGCATAAAACAAATAAATATGAAAAAGTGTGACTATCGAGGACTTGTTGGCTGCCTAAATTACTTAACTTTGTCAAGTAGGCCCGACATTTGCTTTGTAGTAAACCTTCTTTTCTTTTTTGGAAAACCAGGGTGAAAAGCATTGGAAAGTTGGAAAGAATTGTCTATATCTGCTAGGATCAAAAGGTCTATCTTTATTCTGTAGGAGGGATAAATACTTGAAACTTGTTAGATACTCGGATGCGGACTGGGCTGGATAATAGACAATAGAAGTACTTCAGGATTTTGTTTCAAGCTCAGTGAGAAATCAGGCGTAATAAGTTGGTCTAGCAGACTTCAGCGTTGTTTATCAACTTTAACAGCCGAAGCTGAACAAAATGCTCTGGTCGAAACTGTAAAAGAGTGTGTTCGTCTACTGGGCATACTTAGCGAATTATGCGTAACATCTAATACGCATTTGGAAGTGTTCGTGGACAACCAAGCTTGTGTTGCCTTTAGTAAACATTCAATGAACCACATAAAGACGAAACTTTTTTTCTCATAAAACTGCACTTCTTTCCGGATTAAGTTGAACAGAAGATGACATTAACCTTTTTATCAACAGCAAACATGCCTGCCTGACGAAAAACTTGGGAAAATGTAAACCTGCATTTTCCCTAGACATTCTACCAGGAACCACCTAATTTGTAAGGCGGGTTGAGTTTTCCTAACTGAACTGGAGTTAATCGTTCTTATTCGGTTCAAACGAAAAGGTAACTTCCCGATTTTTGTAACAATTAGCTGATGAAACATGACCTTTAGTCATTGATTCCAGTAACTTTGTGCGGGTGATTTACCGTATATATTTGATCTGAAATACTACGGGAACTATCACTCAAATCTCATTAATTCACCCATTATTCAATTGTTTGTCGCTGCAATAATCTTGATAGTTGCGACATGACACATGGAAGCTTTTGAATTCCAAACAGCTTTATTTTTAGTTGCAAGTTGATTGTGGTTTACTTCTCTAATTTGTAAATTTACCAAACCTGACTTGTTCCTTTTTTGGCTTCAAGGCTTTATTCGACCTTAATGTTTTAGGACTTATGTTTTATTGGCTATGGCTTCTTCTAAGGGAAATATATTTTTGTCACCCCTTCCCTCCCGGGAAATACGCAAAAGGATAAAATTCCTTATTTTGATAACAATTTAGCTCAATGTTTTCATGGCATAGTTTCGTTTTCGGCTTAACGGGAGCTCAAATGTTGTCGGCTAAATTGCCGCTCGGAAAACGTTTTGAAAATTTAGTTTACGCCGGTGATTGTGTTGCCGGACCTGTTTTTCTCAAACTGAACATTTTTTCTGTAGATAAGTGAACTGACAGAAAGAATTTGCGATAAGCAGCAGTTGCTTTCTGAAATAGAAAACTATATGCGATCATTGCTCAAGAACCAAGTCAACGATGCAAAAAAATTCACTGAGCTCAAAATTTCGTGGAACTGCTTCTTGGTTTTGGACGCGAAAGAGAAATATGGCGAAGCCCTTCTCACGGGAAATTTTTCAGAGGTTTTGAAAAAATCTTTTTCGAAATCATTGGAAGTTTCGATTGAAGATGTCTGCTATATAACAGAAAATGGGCTAGTGAACAAAGAGTTTCGAAATTCACTTCTGCAGGACGTGGAGTTCGTTGAACTGCTTGCGAAGCTATTTCACGGCTGTTTTTTAGCAAGAGAAACTGAAATTTTGAAACACCTTGTGGTGGTGATTCGAAACATGTTCTTCGACATGGATATTGAGAACCCTGGCTGGATAGTTTACGAGGAAGCTCATCTGATAATCAAACGTAGTAACGTGCCTTCAGACTTGAGGAAAATCATTTGTGGATCAGATAACAAAGGCGTCAAGTTCTTCGCTATAGAGCTGGCCTCCTATAATTTCGTTGACTTAGATTTGGACGAAAACAAGGAGATCCTGAAAGAAATAAGCTCCGATTTAATTCAGTGGCTGCTTAAAGCGATTGACGCTCCGGGACCGGGAAAATCAATTACTATTCCAGGAACAGAATACCACACAAGCGCGTATAACTTGGTTTCGCTTTTGGCTAGGGTTAGTTACAACGATGACATCAAACTTGATTGCGTTAGACGTGGGCTTATTGAAAAGTTATTTCTGTTTATTCAATCGCCTATGGAACCTAAAATCTTGAGTGAAGTTTTGTCTATTTTTGACCAAATTTGCTTCGTTCAAAAGGAAGCAGAAATTTCTGAGATTCATCTAAACAGTCTGAAGAAGTTAGCGGGATATTTATCAGGTCAAAGTTCAGAAGTTGATCCGAAATTTGCTTGGATGAAAACCATGAGAAACGGTTTTGTTGAAAAAGCAGCGAAGAGTCTAAAGCTAGGCTTGAGTATCACCGAGCCTCAAGTTCCTATAGAGGCTAAGAATGTCAATGCGTGCTCGGGCTCACAGAATGAAACGGAAGAATTTGTAATGTTAAGTTATAATTGGGAATCGACGGAAGTTGTCGATGAGTTAGCGAATGCTATTCGGAACTCGGGGGTTCCAATTTGGAGAGACATTGAAAAAATGGTGAATTATGGAGATATTAATGATGGAATGGCGGACGCGGTGGAAAATTGCGGACTGTTAGTAGCTGTAATTTCAGAGAAATATAAGTTGAGTAAAAATTGCAGAAGAGAACTAGAATACGCGGATAACAGGAACAAACAGTTTATTTTTGTTAAGACAGATCCGAAATATGAGCCAGCGGCATGGCTGGGTTTAATGATGGGCAAAAAGATCTACTATATCGTAGATAAAAATGATGCGAAAACTTATGAAGCTTTGATTAAAGCAATTCAGAAAAGTTTGAATGTTCGAAACACGGAAACTGATCGAGAGACTTCGCCTCCCAAGCCTGTAAAGTCTTCGACCACTAAATTATTCACGCATGTTGAATACAAGGAATGGGTGCAGAACAATCCAGCAGTGAAGTTTCTGAAAAAAGATCAGAAGAAAAAGTTGTTTAACGAATTTGTCATTGCAGGAATTGTCGATCTGATCAAATCAGAGTCGCTAAGATATGTGATTGAGAAACTACAAAAGGATTTCGATCTGAACGCTTCGGAAGCAATGACTCTAGTCAAAGTATTAGAAACCAGTTATCCCTCTGCATAAATCAAAATAAAAGTTTGCATCAAAAGCTTTGGTTTGCGACCTTAAAAAAGAATTATATTTTTGGGCCTCTAAATTAAAAAATCGGCCACTAGCTTTTTTGAGCCTAAAGCGCAGCAGAGAAAGCCTTCGCTAATTGACAATATCGCGTGTGAAATAAGTATATCGTCAGAAACGTATATACTTTTAGTGGCAGAAAATTTCAGCCAAAAAAAAACGAGTATATCAGCAGAAAAAAAGAGCCTCTAAAAAATGTAAAGCAAAGCTTCAAGTTATTCGTGAAACTGGATTATTGAACACGACTGATTTAACTTCTCAGTTGTGTTCAATTCCATGTAAAATAAAAACTTTGTACAAATTATACCGGAACCTGAACACATAACTGAGTCACTTGAACTTGATTTTCGGAGAATTGTGTTGAAGTACAGGCTTTTGATCTCATTTGATGCTAAAATTCTATCGAATCAATTTCTCTTCAACTTATATGAATTAATTTGTTTAAAAAATTTGTAATTTTTTGTAAATCTTACTAAATTGAACAGCATTAATTTGTACTTAATAGATATTAACTTCCTTGCTTTCACCATTTGATGTGGCCTTCGAAGTAATCAGAATTTATTGATTCTCAATTTAATTATTATATTTTACATATTTTGGTTAGTAAGATCACGATTTTAAATTGCCTGGACTATGTTCAGTGATGCTTTTTTATTATTATAATCAGCCAGGAGCCGTGAGCAAATAGTTATTAATATGCAGGTATCTGATTGGTTGAATCCTGTGGTCATCGATTGTCTTGCATATTCAAGGTTTTTTCTTAGCACACGATTTCTGACGCATCGGCGGAAAATTTCGCTTCTTTCCGAATGTGCATAAACCAGCGGCAAGCTTGCTGACTTAATATAACAGCCAAAAGTTTTGTCATTTGAAAGAAATTTTCTTGACGTTTGTAGTTTTTTACACTTGCGATAGCAAGTGTGTTGCAACCGGGTACTAGACTTTTTACCCGTAAATAATTTAGTTTACATAATAGTTTAAATAATTTATTTTAGAGTACATTCATGCATTTTAATGCTTTTCTGAATGCTTCTAGGAATATATGCACTATTTTAGTTCAATTCAATTTCAGCTGCTAAAAGCTAGGTTAATTGCGCTCTCCCATTATGAAAGGGTAAAGGTCGCAAGCACGTAAAATTCTAGTTTGAAAGTGGAATTTAAGTTTCAGATTTCCTTGGAGAATAAAAAATTAACCTACTGATGCAGTTTTCTCATTTTGAGTTTATTTTATCAAAAATAGTTTCAATCATATATTCTTGACTTTTAAAAAGCTGTAAAGCCATGTATTTTAACTTTTAGAATTTGCAGTTTTTTTTTCTTCTTTACACTCATCCTCGTGCGTTCATAGACTCTTTGTCATCTGTCTGTTGGATATGTTTTAACAGACTATGAACGTTGTGAAGTCTTTTACATAGGTCATGAAGGTTTTTCTTTTTTTCAGTAAATGTTCACGATCAAATTTAATGTTTCGAGATTTGACTTGAATTTTTTAAGTTCAACTTTTTGCCTTTCTTAAAAGGGAGGCGAATTCCACTATCGATTGGAAAAATTATAAAGGACAAAAAAAACGTAATCGTTTTCTAATTTCCATTTTATTTTTCAGATTTTTAGCGAGCTGTGATAATTTTTCAAACTGTGATAATTTTAGTATAAAAGTTGCAATGCTGAATTTTCGTTCTAAGAAGTTTTAGGCCATGTAATTTGAAATTCGGCCATTGGAGTTTTTTCAAAAAGCAGTTTTTTCTGTTTCCTTGCGGCCATCGACTCTTTTCTAACTGTCTGCTGGCTATGTTTGTTTTTCATTATTTGGTTTAATAATTAATTGCGCGGCATTACTAGAATTTTTTTTCATAATGCACACTCGTTTTCGATGCTTTCCTGATTCATTCGATTTTTTCAACGTCCATTTTTGTGCTCTTTGGTTTTTCTAGTGTTTTTGAATCCATACTACAATTTTTTTAGTTTGCGAGTTTAGAGCCCTTATTTTTGTGTAAGAGTATTGCAATCGGTTACTAGACTCTTTTCCCGTAAATAACTTCTTTAACAGGACTCATTCATCTCCTGGACTCATTCATCTTTTGACTCGCTCAATTTCTTGAAACTTCAGATAAAACTGCTACATTTAAGTAATTTGTTAACTTCTGTTTTGGGTTGTAATTATCATTTTAAAAAGAATTTCTCAGTTTTTTGTAGGGTTCTCAGTCTCGTCATAGTTTTTCTTGGTTCACTTTCCGTTTTTGGTTCACTTTCCGTTAAAAAACGTTATATTTTCAAACATGCAAACAGTATCCTTTTATGTAATACCGACTTAGTCAACTGATATTGCGTAATTTCGAGGGCAAAATATTTTCGGTTGTTTTTGAAACGCGATTTTTAATCTGTTAGGGTTGTTATCGGTTTTTAAAAGCATGTGTTTTGTTCCAGTTTGAACAGTTTTTGCAATATATGATATATTTAAATGCGAGATTTACTATCTCGCCATGCTTAAGCTATTTCAACGTATTGTTTTTGCGTGTTTATTGAAAGAGTGCACATCAAGCTATTTCGTTTATTGCAATGGTTAAGATTTTTTTCGATTTTCCAGTTTGAATTCAGAGTTCATTTTAGCGAGGTAAAGATAAGTAGAGCCTGATAGTAGGTTGCTGTCTGGGTTTTCCCAGGGGTTACAAGTTTGGGCTCTAATTATGAATGCCCAAATTGTACAAGATACGACAATTTTTGTGATTTTTTCAAAAATTCTCAAAAAACTCAAATAACAAAATAATTTTCAAAACTTGAAGTTCCCAACTCTGTAGTTGGGTGGTGCTGTCAGACTTCCAATTTTTTTCCTAGTTTGAAAATCACAACGCTGTATTTGGGTACTGTAAGAGTACTTTCAGGAGAGTTGCAAATCTTGCGTTTGAACGCGACTGCTCAATTGCTTTTTGGTTTCCGAATTGTGACGTTTCTTAGTCTATCTTAACTTAGATATAAAAAACTTCACGAAATTTTATGGTGTTTCAAAATTTAAATTAAAAAACTGAAAAAACACTTTACAAAATATATAATTAACAACCCTGTAATTGGGGGCTGGCACAGTACTCACAGAGGTTGCGAAACCTGCCTTGAAATCTGACTGCTCAAATCTTGGTAGCTTTCGAGATATGACGTTTTTATTGCTTTAAAAAAAATTAGAAAAATGAAGTTTGAAATTTTGAAATTCCCAACGCTGTAGTTGGGTACTGTAAGAGTACTCCCAGGAGATGCAATTCTGGCGTTCAAATGAGACTGCTCAATTGCTTTTAATATCTGAAATGTGACGTTTCTTATTTAATCTTAACTTACATATAAAAAACTTCACGGAATTTTCTAGTTTATCAAAAATTAAATTGAAAAAACTTGAAAAACACTTTACAAATTTTATAATAAACAACCCTGTAATTAGGTACTGTCAGGGTACAATCAAAGGATGCAGATCTTATTTGCAATAAATGTGGTTTTTTATGAGTTATTAAAAATTCGAAGCATTGGAGGTGTGTTACACGTTAGTTTGCGTAATTTCGAGGGCAAAATCTTCACGGTTGTTTTTTAAACGCCATTTTTAATATGTTAGGGTTGTTATTGGTTTTTTAAAGCATGCGTTTTGTTCCCATTTAAACAGTTTTTGCAATTTGCAGTTTTTGTCTGCAAATTTGTAAGTTCACCAAGTGTGATTTTCAGTTCTTTTTTCTTAAGTTTTTTTTTAATCATGTAAACAGTTTCAGCTTATGAAATATCGACTTAGTTAATTGATATTGCATAAATTTGATGGAAAAATGTATTCTTATACGTTTTTATTCAGTTTGGATGCGTCCGAATACTTTATATAAAAACTTATGACTTTTTACGACAATAGTTTTGTTTTCTGCTTGACAGGTTTGGACCTAAAATTTGTCGCTCTTGTTCCTGCTCAGTGAATGATTTTTAATTTTTTAAGGCTTTTTATGAAGTGAATCTGGTATGGTACAAACTATTGTAGCTGAAATTTTTAAAATTTTCTCGAAATTTTGTTTGAAGTAATTTTTTGAACTTAATGTTTCAGAAATTTTTTTGACTTCTCTTCATTATTGCATTCTTTATCCTGTAGCGCAATGTGTTTTTTTGTTGCATCACAAGTCTCGCTGAGCTTTGCAAAACCCTCTGTGTGCAATTTTTTTTTTTTGCATCGCTAGTCAATTAATGTTGCGCAGTTTCAAGAGCGAACGGTTCTTACTGCTTTTGCCTGTTTCAAGAAGTATAGGTCGTAAAACTTTCAAAAAAATTTATAGCTGGAATATTTTTGTCCACAGTTTTGTTGTCGGCTTATCGAGCATCGACCCATTTTTTTTCGTCCGAGTTGTTTCTCGGTCATTGTTTCTCAATGTTTGTAAAGGCTTTGTATGAACGTCGTCCAAGACAAATGTATGCAATTTTAAAAGATAGTGTTTCAGACTTTTTCAGCTTACTTTTCTTGGGAAGAAGACTTCCTTCTTTTGCTTTGTATTTAATATCTTGTTACCCTTGCGATGTACAATGGTATTGCAATCGGGTACTAGACTGTTTTCACGTAAACACCTTTGTTCATAGGACTCATCTGAACTCCTGTTGGTACCTTGGTTCATATTGAGTTCAAGTTTCTTAGCGTCTCCTGCGCACTTAGCCTGGATGTAGCGATTACGCCTGGAACGGCAAAGGTCCTGGGTTCGAATCTGACCAGAACCTGATATTTTTTAATTAAAATTTTTCTGTGTCAAATAAAGTTGTTAGCCCAATATTTGGCTGCTTGTGTTTTGTCGGCTTAGTTATCACATCTAAGAATAGTTTATATTTGCTGTAAACAGTTCTCATTGTAGTTATTTTAGCATTTTAAAAATCCAGCCCAATCGAAGTTTCACTTTAACCTTGGTTGTAATTTAACCAACTCGATTTGTAAAATTTTCGTTTAAAAAAATCGTCTTTTTTCGGCTTTATTGGTTTCTGGCTTAACGACTAGTTTAACAAAATTAGCGAATCACTTGACATGCTCAATGCTCTTCACCTGGCATGTCTTTTAGCTGGCATGCTCAATTTCATGAAAAATTCAAATTTAACTACTGACTGGGGTACGGGGTAATTGAAACTTTTGTAAGTTTTTTTACATCAGTTTTTTTTCGGCTCAAGTGGTGTCTGCTCAAAGATTGTCGGCCTTTTTTCAAATTCGTAAGCTATGTTCAGTTGCTAGTTTGAATTTCAAATTTCCTGCCTGACATATTTGCGTAGAGTTCCTTTTTTTTTTATTTTTTCAAGTCGCTTTGGTAAATTTTACTAGAGAAACAACTAAGGTTTTGGGCAAATGTGAATTTTTGTTATTACGCATTTTGTCCGGCGTCAGTGTAAAAAATTCAAAAATATCAAAGTATTCAGCTTAAGCTGATCCCAACGTGTCCTTCATCGAGACATACGAAAATTTTGGATCACCTAGTTTTTTTCAAGATGTTTTTTTTTCGACATGCTTTTTTTGTAATTGTGTTATATCGCAAGTGGTCCGAAGCCCCGCTTCGTCTCTGTGTTTAAAATCTGTTTTTGCCCTCTTTTTGCAGCTTTTGAGGACCGA